CATTACTGACAAGAAATTTCAGGTTCCCACGGCGGTAAATATGTCGATGTTGGTCTACAGCCCCGAATATGGATTTAGTAAATGACTTCGTAACGTTCGTATCTATGTATCTGCAAATCCAACAATGCGTTACAATCCAAAAGACCAACATAGATTTAATGTTTCATAAAATAATTGTTGCGTTCACCTTTGTTGTTAATTTCAAAAGGCCAAATTTACGAAAACCTTTTGTTTCTTTGTAACAAGCGTAATGAATTTCACACACCGATTTCTCAAGTCCATATACCGTTAAATATACCAGCTCGTAAACACGAAACTTACATAAGTTTATAAATCGGACAACAAACCTCATCCGCAACTTCAAATCACAAATTCTTATGAAGTGTGCAAATATAGCCTTAAGAAGAGATGTCGAGCCAGAATGCGAACAGATAATGGAAACAAGAGAAGATGAAAACCCGCTGATGTCACCTGCTCACGGCATCTGCTGAGGCTTGATAATTACCTAAGCAACTGCAATGTGTCGAGTGGTTTCGAAGACGCAACCAGACAACGATGAGCAACATTCGAGGCTGGGGGTTCATTTTGTACGCTGCATTCAGCTTTCAGAGAAAGTAGCCGATTTCTGACTAAACAACGGGGAGATAAATTTAAATACGACATAAATCACACTTAGTTCATTTTAAAAGGTCCTTTTCACCAGGTTTGCATGGAAAAACGCGTTTTTCGCTTCTTTAAGGAAGAAGCCCCCTAGAATGATCAAGGTTTTCGCAAAAACGTAATCGCTAAAATCCTTCCATTCGGTCCTCTCCTAACCACGTGGTTGATATAGCTTTTTCGACGCCTCTTTTTTTAACCATGTGATCGCTCGCTATTGGATATATCTTCTCTGTATGTAAAATCACTTCCTAATTCTTGCAACGACATTCACTCTGATGATGGCAACTGCAATTTTTGCCAAAATGGACAAACAACTTTCGACACGGCTTATCCCCAAAAGCCGAAGTCATACACATGCAAATATTGCGAATATTCGAAAAATGTCAATACAGATTGTGTACATTTGTGTCGCTATTTCCACTCTTCGCCTTCCACGGAGTGTGCGCTAATTTCAGCTTTGCCAGCAGTGACAATTCTCTATTTCAATGAAGAGTGTCAATCTCTATTTCCAATAGTGCAGAGAGTGTACAGTTTTAAAGGCTCCGCTGTGGTTTAGCCTTCAACATTCCTAAGCGCGCGGAGCTGACGGCAACATCGCAATGGAGGCACATTCCCGAGCGAGTTTCTCTCCCTGGGACTATCACACTCTGGCCCGGCCCACGTCTGTGCTCTTACGAGACTTCTGCCCGCATGCATGGACCGACGCATGGTTTGTTTTCCGACGCATTTGCATTAAATACCGCACAATACATATTCTGTTGACGGCAGACAGACATCTGCGTTGTGACCCTGTGTGACATGTAGTTTGGTGCCAACAACCCGATGCCTCCAACTTCGGACCTGAAGATGTAGGCAGTGTGTTCCACAGAACCGTTGGCCCTCACCGCTCCACCGTCGACGAATCTCATAATATTAATACGTACGCGTGGATGACCAGGGTAAATGCGGGTTTGATTCCTAGTAGGGGTAGCGATTATTTTCATCACCACGTCCAGACCGGGTCTAGGGCCGACCCATGCTACAGCGATCTTTCCCTGAGGCTAAAGTGGCCGAATTTCCATCTCTTGCCGACATAAATCTGTAACTTCGTAACTCCAATTCAGACCCTTTTCTAGTAATTGTTATCCTTGCGTCTCAGAATGAAATGTGCACGTGGTTCAACGTAATAAAACCTGTCAACGAAGTCAGAAACTTCGTTACATGCCTTCAGGTATAAAGTGATATGAAATGAAGGTCGGTCTAATTATGCAAACGTAGGAAATTCCTATCTACGGTTGTTTACCCCTGGGATAAGTTATGATGCATACCTAAAGCGACCGTGAAGAGTCACAGGAAACCTTAGTCAGCACGACCAAGATCCGAACAGGGTACCTTCCAAATACGGGGAATGAAACACATAACAAAGCATATACGCATGATTAGCCGGTAATAACTGGACTTCTACGAAGAGGAAATAATGAAACCCCGGAAAAATCTCAAGTTGGCATGCCTGGTCCCTGTCCTGGATTCATACCCAGGATCTCCCGAATCCCAGCCATATGCGTTTGAATTTCACCGACTTGTTAGTTCCCACAACACGTAACTGTAAAGGACTGATTCTTGGTTTCCGTTGTTGGCACAATCGAGCGTCGAAATCAACTTGGTTAGCATAACTGTTTCGTATTCGGAAAGTCCCGGATTCAAATCCTGGCTTCTTTCGAGATTTTACACTGTCCCTCCAAGCAAGTAACGGGCCAGTCCCTTGAAATAGGCCACGACAACTTATTAACCGTCTGGTCTTTGTAATGGAAAATTTGTTTTCTTTGATGCAGGAACTGCAAAATGATTTTTACGGAAATCGATTCCAGTACTCTGAATCGCATTAATTGGTTACGTATCGGCTGAAGTGTTCACGTTGCTGAAGGCATCCACATTCTAATTACGAGCAGCTATGTTTCCAATTTACTTACGCACCCAAAACTTATCAACTGGATTACATTGCCTCTAACGGCAGCTGCGTGTCTTTCAACCGCCCTACCATAATCGGTATGTGTGATGAATACGTAGCAGTCTGGCGAAATAACGAAACCACCGCACGCACTATCGCGACAACTTCTTGCAAAACTTCGTATAAATATTCTCCGCGTATACGTCAGCTCTTGAGTGAAGAAGAAATGACCTAGAAAGACTCGTGGTTACTAGCACGAGCAATTGGCCAGGTCATACAGGAATCTTGAATGTAATGTGCTCTTAGCGGGGAAAGCGTTTTCTTGCCTTTCCCACGGTGATCACCCCCACCACCACCCTGCTAACCTCATACAGCTTCCGGTTTCAGAACGGCAGAGCGGACTAGTGCTTGGCAACCACAACGCTCGTATGCAAATCTGAAGAAGATACACAGAAATTTGCAACAGGCACTTCAGGGTTCAAGAATTTGCCCAACTTTCTTAGGAACAATCTTGTGTGGTGTGTGAGTCAATTCGTCCGTCACCTAATTAAAATGCAACACAGAAGGAAACTACAAGCCAGCAGTCTAAGACACAAATTTGGTTGAGTAACACCATTACCACCACCGAGTACATCCCTTGTTCGGCATAATAAAACTATATCGTGAGGGAGTTCTTCTTGGGAAGCTAACAGTCGCTCAGATAGTTTAAAATTTCAGCTCTTTAAATGCCGCTGGAATGTTAATTACCGTGTTCAAATTAACCCGCCACTCGTCTCCACTTCCGCCTAGATCTTTCAAGTTGTCTCTTCCCTTCAGGTTTTCCAATTAAAATTCTGTACGGATTTTTTATCTCCCCAATATATGCTACATGCTCCGCCCTTCTCATCCTCCTACAACTTTTGTTTGGTTCAGCTCATCTAAATAAAATCGATTTTTATTTCGGTACGTTTTAGAAAAATGGAAAATAAACTTTTTAAACAAGTGTCTCGGTTATCTAATCTACTCGTTGGTGTACGCAAAATAAGAAAACCCCTTGAATGTTTAGTCGGTTCCCTTCAGAGTGTATATAAACCGCAAAAGCTCCACAAGAAAATCAAACAAATTCATTTCACCAGTGACGGGGTGGGGGAGGGGGGAACGACATGCAGCCGGATTACAACCACCATCTTCTTCGCCACATGTTCACAGATACAAGCGTCTGTACAAGCAAACAATCTGTTACTTTCTAGCTGACAACTAACGTAAATTGCAAATAATATACATGGCCTATGCATGCAGAAGTGCAAGGACTAAGGCGACTGATGAACCACAAAAATGCACTTATAGTCGGCGCAGTAGTTTTTGGCCGGTGGAGAAGCTGGCGGACGGGCCTACTCCGTGTACCTGAGGTGGCACGGTCAGTGTATTTCTTTTGTTTGGGCGTTCAGTCCGATAAGCTCCTCGGCGCAGTCAGCATTATACTATCGCACAAATGACTCGCTCCTAGCCTTCCCCTTCAATATTCCCCCGGCCATAAACTACTGCGCCGACTATACTAAGTGAATGAATAACGTTGCTTTTCGTACCTACGCAAATTGCTTAATCTACGTGCAGTATCCATCCAAGTATCATTCCTGACTACACAAAGCCTTTGTGGAATTTGTAATTTAAACTTTTAAATTAGGTACATCAAGAGACAAATAGCAAGAGCTTCCGTACAGTACACTCCCATCAGCAACAGAGAAACGAAAATCGATGCAATCTGAATTCCATTCAGTCACGAACTGCACCAATCACGCCAATAATCTGGTAAATTTCTCACGTTTCCCTGCCGTTTATCAGGCCTTCAATTGGCCATGTTAGGTGTACGAACACTATAACACTCTGATGGCTACTGTGGTCCTGCATTTAATTACCCAGTCAGACAGCTTGCCAGTTCATTGCAACCAGCTAGCTCCCTGGCTTGGTCTCGCTAACAGAAGTTGTTCTTCCGTCCACAACGCAAACCCAAATATAACAAATAACTCACAAGAAGTCTCAGCTGGTCACGGTATTCCCCGCTTTAATGGAACACAAAGGCAATTCACTGTGTTCCTCAAAAGTCCGCCATCGGACCCGATCTTGAGCTCGCATGAAGTATTCAGTTCTTCATGCCGTTTCCTAGTGTCGGAGGGCATCTCATCTACGCATAAAGGTACGTCCAGACTACTCGGGCACGTCTGCCTCCGTGAATGTGAACGCTTTCACGAGCCCGAACCCAATCAGAACGATCAACCGGAATAATGGGCTCTAGAAGTTCGCTGTAGTGTCCGATACAGCCATCTGTACACACCGGCCCGAGCACAAGCGAGCCCAAACACGAGTAATCTGGACGTACCATTCGTCTAATATGATAATTCTCCCCGCATGATCAAAAGCCAATGATCGTACTCACCTCCAAAACGTCTTGAGCAGTCTGCAAGTACTCCCGCAACATTGCTTCTTGGATTGCCCGCCATTCCAGACGAGGGTCCTCCAACTGAGTACACTCTGCGGAAGTAAATGGGGCGAATTACATCTAACAATAACATTTACAGTAAAATTGAGAAGGAAGAATAACAAAGAGGAACTTCACATGTATCGTAAGTAAGAACACAATTCCACTGGCTACAACAGAGGTTTTCAACCCGTGGTCCGCCGATGTTTTGTGTGGCCGGCGTGACTTTTTGTAACACTGAATCAATCTGTATGATGAAACAGCTGCTGAATACGTAACGAACAAATTTATCAAGGGGAAATTACTAATAATATGCTAATCTGTTCGTGACATTAAGTTACTGGCATTAAACTGATAAGTTTCAATAAATTGACGATTTGAATATAACTGTGCGGCCCGCAAGTCGGCAAGAGATGAAAAACTAACATAATCTGCGCACAAGTAACAAGGAATTAGAAAACTAGAATGTACTTTGCCGTTGAAAACATGGTAAACACGAATGATTATGACATTATCTACATAATCCAAACATAAACCACTGTACTGTATAGGTCTAGGGGGCACAACTTCAGTCGCCACAGACAAAATGACAATTGCTGGGTCCACTGTGCGCCCCTGGTCTTGTTATGGTCCCTCAAAAAGCCCTGGTCACACTGCTAGAGCCAGAAGTGACCCTAAGACTGCTTTCAAACGTGGCTCACGCGAGCTGAAGCGACTGCTGAGGACAGACATCCCAGCAAAATGCATTGGACCCTTTCACACGAGGCTCAGTGGGCTGCAGATCAAGCCAGTCTAGCCAACGCCTTTATACGCGAGAGGCACATTGTGGAGGAAAAACTCCAGTAAGCTGTTTGTAATAGGTACTATTTATTAATAATTTATAATATTTACGCTATAAAATTTTCCCGGGGGTAAAGCCGGCCGGGGCGTGATGCTGACCACTCACCCCCATCTAGTGCCGAGGTCAAGGAAGAGAGGAGCTATACCTCCACTCACCCCAAACGCCTATATGGCGTATAGTGGGACAAACTTTACTTTATCTTACGCTATAAAATATTACTGTTACTGCTTCAAGTTCTAACATAATTTGTTGAACGCTGCTAATACACTGAAAATGTGGTGCTGGAGGGACTGAGTGAAGTTGGTAACTCTAACGGAGGGTCACGAGAGCCGAACTCTGAATTGCTTATCGCCTCCGTATGAGCTGCATACCGGCTCAGCGAGCCCCTCAGGTGAGCGGCTCACGGGCTCACGTGTGAAAGCAGTCCAATATTTATCGGCTCTAGCCACGCACAGGCAATAATCTCTAATCTGTATCTTGTCAGCACTGTGCTTTGACACAGTTTCTGGTAGATGATCCCCCTCCTGTCAGCATTTCCTGCACTTGTCCACTTGTCGCTGTCTGACATTAATTCAATTAACACAGCCATACAAGGCTAATGTCCAAAACAAGGATAATTACTAGTAAACCCATGAATTTAAAGGTTCGCTGAGGACAGGATAGTTTAGAGAGGAAATTGCGCACATTGTCCTACTGGTTGACGTCAAAATTAGTCAAAGGACACGTTTTTACTGACATAAACCACACTACTTGGGTTACTGTCCGGCCAATCTCAGAATGTCGGAATTCGGCGTTCAGACTTAATATCACGCAGATGTTTAATCATCTAACAGCCTCTCTGGACAATAATAGGCATGTCATTTTGATAATTCATCCAAGGATAAAATTGTTTCCACTTACATGAACAGTTGTTCTAGGTTTGCACTCGGTAAGTAAAAGAATGCGTCATTTCCTAATAACATAGGAGTGTCCATTTTTCAGTAAGTTCTACAGCAATGTCTTGTAGGACTTCCACATTTTAAACGTTTATCTCAAGGCACAGAAAACTACCAAATTTGGCAAACACGTGTTAAACTAGCAGAAATAAATCTGGATGATGATGTTACGTCTATGTCTACATGGATTTTAAACAAGTACAGCCTATGAGCGTATAGTCCATCACATTAGTGCACTTTGCATGAAAGAACTGAAACTATTCTTAAGTTCTGTGTGATCGCACATTTCCTTGAAAGAAAAAAAATAATTCACGTAGCAGGTGATTACTGGGTACAGTGGTCTTATGCCACGTCTAATATTATATCACATTTCGTAAAAAAATCCCAATGTCTTACTGCATATTTATGACTTCGCCATTGCAGTTAATGAAAAGTTTTGTTGTGACGCTGTCTTTACAGGCTCTCTGTGATTCATCACTCAACAACGTCAAGGTAATCGTCACACACTGTAACAAAATTCCGCGTAACACACGAACACTACGAGCTGCCACCTTCTGTTTGCGTTGTCCTTATGCAAATATAATCTCCTGCGCCAAACGAATTAAAAACACACTTAGGGTAGCTGTCTTCTGGGTCGTAGTGTCGTGTAGTCTGGTAGAAGTTTACCGACGTTTGAGAGGTCCTTGCTGTCTTCATCATCAGGGCGGTGATAAACGTCTGCCAGACTACACGGCGCTACAACCCAGAAGACAGCCAGCCATCTTGGTACTCACCGCGGTTGAGAACCTCAAATACAACTTAAGAACATAATTGTTACCATTAACTAACTGTAGGTGTGTATGCAAATATGATACGAAACAGCATGCTAACTGCCAGTAGCTATTTTCCGTTTACTATGCGTGCTACATGTTAATCTCGCCCCTCTCAATTTGATGACTAATAGTATTTCAACATGCAAGTTTATCCTTTCTCCTGTCATTTTCTTCCTCTTAAATCCAAAGATTCTCTTCAACAATTTTATACCGTGTGAATTATAAACAGTCTGCAACACTGAAATTGGACAGCAAGTAGCTATATGCATACAGCCACGACAAGCAAGCAGTGTTGTGATATAAAAGCATTCTTTCACGTTCTATCAGCAGCCTGGTATGGTTGGAATGTTACAATTTGCTTACAGACAACCGCACTCGGTGTATGCATGTAATCTATCACCGTACCCTTCCCCTTCTCGCTACAACTACTACTACTACTGCTGATGTATCCTTGGGCAAATTCCCCATCCAACACCCAGTGTTAGATGATTCGAGGACTGTCAACTGCACACATATCTGACGCAGAAGCCCACAATGTGTTCATAACCATTTCCTTACCAACATAAAGACTATTCCATGTTTTCAGAACTGCGCGGTCCCTTATTTGCCTCACACCTAGAGACTAGGTAATACCGACATAAGCCATTCATGTTTCAAACTGCAGATATCAAGAAAGGAAACGATATTATTAAGTCATCAAATTCTTTGTCCCGTGTTTCACTTCTACCATAACGTTGCAGCCCTCGTACACACACGGCAGATATGATTTTCTGCAATCATACACGAAAATGTTTAACTGAATTCACACAGGCATAATTCTCTAGTAGAAGGTGATGATCACGTAAGATAAGCATGTTCCAATGAGTCATATTAGCACGTTGAAATAAACGACCAAATCACACCAGTCGCTCAAAGATGGTGACAGAATGATCAGAACTCATTTAGCAAACCGTCTGTTTTTATTGACATCGAACACATCCAAATGAAATAACAGCGGCCAGCAATGAAGGGGTTACAGAGAACATGCCCCCGTCTTCTTCACACTGTATCTGTATGTACAGTCCACACCAGGCGGCGTACGAACATTTGTATCTTTGATACAAATCGGCCTGGAACTTTACATGACCGTTAAAACACAAAACGGCTGTTTAGATGCCATCATAAATAACAATGAACACATTACAATTTCGTAAAGTAACTGCAAGACGACCAGGAATTCCATCTATATACAAATTTAATCGAAACCGTTCATCCAGAGACCAACGCGGACTGCCTATGGCCACACTGACAAAGCACAGGAAGTTAAGACTCAAAACCGCAAAAGAAAACAGACATAATTCCGTGTGGTTAATCATCCAGTTGACGTATTCAGATTCAACAAGTCTGGAAATGCACGCATAGCGTAACAGTTCTTGAGGCTTGGCTGTTTTTGCTTACAGAGATTCAATTCCTCAATGGAAATATTTGATTCCGTCTTACACAAGTAGCGTAAAACGGGGAGTCAAGCAGACAGACCCAAGTACTGAAGGGCAAACATTCTCCTTTATTTAAGACAGGTGGTACAATCAATTATTACAAAAACCCGGGAGATTACGGGGCGTAAAACGTGTTTCATTTGTCTCTGCAACTTCTTCGAAACAATTTTCGCTCCGATAAATACTTTGAGAGTTACGCTAGAAATGCACAAAAAACCGACGTAATCATGTAAATTGTCTCGTTACTTTCATTTTGTTAGCCAAAACTGTAATGTTGACACATGTAAGTGTAACTCTTCAATCTGTTCAGCGGTTCTGTTATTACATGCAGACAGACAGGCATGGCAAAGCCAATAGGCACACTTTTGTAAGTTCTCCGCGAACGCCTAGAAACCCCAAAGAAAGCAGAAATACAATCCGCCTGGGAAATCGTTCATCTGTCCCTACATGCGGTTTGAAAATGCTGAAGAAAACAGAAATACATACTGAGAAATCATTCATCTGATCCCTTCACAGAATCAAAACCGCTGAAGGAAATTAGACATGCATTCCATCCGCAAAATCATCCAGCTAACCCCGAAGTTAGTCATGCAGCAATGGCAGCCGCCTAGTAGTTAGGTGATTGTACAAGCACTGAGGAATGCACTGTGAATACTATACGACGGAAAGTAAGCAAGAACGAGAGGGGGAAAAACACGTGACATTACTGATAACTGATTGACAATAATAACAGCATTTAGGAGAGTGAAATACTCTCTTTATCTGAAGTATGTCTGCTACTCTTGAAAGGCCGGCCCGCATTCCTTAGATACAACAGACAGTTTCAACGGTTGCGACCCGCGTACGAGCGGTTTTCTACCGCAGCGGTAAAACTACCGCACGTGCACTCACTTCCTAGTGAAACAGTGCGTTCCATCAATGCCGCAGGAAAACCGCTCGTGCTATATTCTTCAAGAGAAGTTCAAATAATTAACCAAGAATTTCAGTTCGGTTTCCTTTGTACGTCCTATACGTAATAACTTGAAATCACTTGAAATATCTCTATAGTGGGTAACTGTTACGCCTATGTGGGCAATGCGTAACGTTTGTCTATGAATATGGGATTACGACAGTCATCTGGTCTTAGACGACGTTAGATTCGCAGAAAGATACCAAAGTTTCGATGGCACGTACTGTCTCCTTCTGCAGAGCGAGCAATGATACCTTCGCCACAGGAACCTCAATCCTCACAACCACGTGTTTCCTTTCAACTCAATCCTAAGGGATTTATAACATTTTATACGTTATTTATCGAATTGGAAACGTAAACTGTCGACAACACTTATCAGATTCTCTCAGCTTAATTAAACGTCTAACCAAGTTTCGAATACCTCGTCCATACCTGGTCTGAGGGTAAACAAGGTTTTTTAGGACAAGTTTTTATTTACAGTCTGAATAAAGATTTGACTAATTTGTTGAAAGGTGACACAAACATGCCAATGTCTAAGCACGTGTGGCAACACAACCGAGTGTTTGTTAATTTTAATCCAAAACCGCTTGCTAAATCATATTTTAAGCCTATTTCATGTACTGGAACCGTTCATAAACCATGTAACTGGATAAAAACGTTAAAAGGGGTATAAATCGTTCCACTTTCCACTGAAGTTCAAGTTTTCCTACTACAGTGTCGCTGATATATGTAATCCACTTTATTGCACTTTGTAATACAGAGTAAATAGTTTTACTCCTATCATTACTCCCACTGCTAATCTCAAGGCTACGTTCAGACCTTCGCATGGCTAAAAGATCTGTCTGCAATCTTAGCGACTATGCACTCGTTCCATATCGCGTTCTTAAACTGTGGGTCAACCCGAGACAAAAATGTGAAACAATAATTCAGAAAAATTACGTACATATGCAAGTTTCTCTACTCTGACGCTATTACGTCTACTATTATGTACTCCTTTCGGAGCGCTTTCTCTAATCTGATATTTTAATTCTTTACGTCGCTGTTCAGAGGCCAACTGTTCTTGGTCAGTCAACTTTCTACGTCCAACCCCTGCAAATCTTCGTATGCTTTTTTCTTTCCTTTCTGTTCTTGTTGAATAAGTTTTTCTGTGTTTACCAATGTAAGTCTTACTTCGCTTTCATTCATTTGTTAAACAGTTCTGATGTTTTAGTTCTTTACCTCGCTGTTCAGAGGCCAACTGTTCTTGGTCAGTCAACTTTCTACGTCCAACCAGCCACTATTATTGTTATATTAACTTCGTAGCACTAAACCTTGTCCAGCTGATTCCACTAACATCCATTCAGAATAAAAAAAATGGAGGAAATGTAGTTCTACTAAAAAAAACTAGACTATAAATTATACTACACGTACTGATTCACCCAACTGTCGCACATAATACGCGGGGGTGGTGCTAACTTAACAAGAAACTCTCCATGAAGATAACACCTATTCGTGGACGCCACGGTACGGCAATTAATATTAGACGTGCGAACCATTGGCTGGCTTCTTTCTTGTCCCTTCTAACACGGAGTCTAAAAAGTGAGAATAAGATTAATCTTACTCAGGACAGAGGCCAGTGAACTAGGTAATGAAACTTTGGGTACCATAAAAGGCGGGTAATTTATTGACAAGCTGCTAGACTATCTTCTGCATCTAAGCTCTGAGTCAGGAAATCGCTCATTACATTGAAACTAATGGTCTGCATTTAAAATGGAATAGATTTAATGCAATACTAACGTGAATTGACCAACAAGGTTACAGCGTACTCACGGTTGACATGGTTGATGTAGTAAGAGCCTATCTGAGGGTCGTATGCCTCTTCCCAGCCCAGGGGAAGTTCGTTTCCGATGCAGTCTGCAAACGTCTGTGGTTTCGTAAACCTGCAAACCACAAATACACATTTATAAAATAAACCCAATAAAGTTCTATAAAACATGAAAACGATGGGAATCATATACATAGACAAACACACCAATAAATTACTCTCAGCATGGCTGTAAAAATACCAAGTGCTCCCACAAATCTGTCGTTTTACGATGCGCTTCGAAGACCACTACACTACAGCTGTGATATTCTTTGTGTAACAAACAAATGAGTACACTACAGCCAGCACAATGAACACTTGCCAAAAGCACACAAAAACGTTCGTATAACCATTTTAAGTTAACCTCAACAAATTCGCCTTCGGAACCCATTCACCAAAATTAATTTATCTTGCTTACCTATAAATATTTAATGTTATCAGCACTCACTAGACACAATAATCTATTATTTGACATGTTTATTTCAGTGGACGCCATCCGTTATGATCCTATTTAACGATTGCAGAGATGTACTTCCAGTTCGGAGGCTAGGAACCCGTGGAGCGTTTCAACCACTACACAATACGATTAAATGGCGCGATGCTAAGCACAAATACAACTTTTCATGTGTCTGTCAGTCATAAAATGGCCAAATTTATCAACTGCATAATAACACACAATTTGCATATGTTTTGTGAAGGAATAAGGCACCACGCTATGGTGACGGAAGGAGGAATGGTGGAATAGCTACTCGTATGCTTAACCTCGACAGCAGGCAAAGGTGAGTGGTCACCACCTTCCGTGTAGAAGGAACGACTCTCCACTGTCCGGCGATCCGTGAATTTAAGGAAGGGAGCTGCCAAATTGTGTGCCCATGGTCAATCAAGCTCCCACGTATTCTTGTGTATTTTCCCGCTTCCTTGATGATAATAAATTCGTGTAGTTTCGCTTTGTACAATCCACTTTTAAAATCGACAGTCACAGAAACTAACGCTGTTGTAGCACGACCCAAAAATTTAACATCGTTGATACCATCGCCATTTCCATCCAATTATAATTTTCGTAAAAGTCACTCCCACAATTAAAAATTACTTTCACTGGAAAAAATTTCAAAAACACAACACACATTTTCCGCATGCTGCTAACTGCACGACCTTAAAATGGCTTTTAAAGAGTGTCGGCTGGTTTCAGCTGGATCAGGGCAGGGTCCATTTGCGACATCGTATGAACACGGCGGTGAACGTTGGGGTTTTATAAAAAACGGGGATTTCTTGACCATCTGACGACTGTCAGTTTGTCAAGGAGGACTCTTTCATGGAGTTAGAGGCAGAGAATGTAATTCTTTAAATTCTTTCTTTAAAAACCTGGGACCATCGTCAAGAGTTGTACTACAGTTACAGTCTTTTGTGTTTTGTTTTGTAATGTTAAATAGCTTAGTTTGTGAAATAAGTCCATTTCAAGACGAACATTCTTTTGATTATGTGTAGCCTCAGATGTGTTGTACCTCAAAGGGTACAAGGCTTTGCCGGCTTTTGGAGCAGTCGGCGTGGCTGCCAGGTAGGCGGGGGAGGCTGAGGAATGCTGGCAATGTGTCCCTACAGCTTCCGCCCCTCACATTTGTACGCCTGCTGGCAGGCCCCCGGAAGGATGAGACAAAAGCGAGGGGCGGCTGTCTAACCACCCCACCACATTCCATTCCTCCCCTCCCCATTCCTCATTCAGCAATCTTGCATACGTGGGTCTGTGGATCTCTTGTGGTATGTAGCTCTCTGCAGTAATATATGCCTCAAAATAAAAATATTCCGTCATGTGTTCCGTGTGGACAGTGGACGGTCGTGCCACATCTCTTGCTTGTAGATGCAGCATCACAACATGAAGAATCGGGTTCAATCCCGGGTGACTTCATCTGAGATTATTGGTGGACGAAGTAGCACTGGGGCAGGTTTTTTTCCCGACTTATTCAACTTTCCCTCATAATTTCATTTAGTTAATCCACCGCCCCACAAGGTGTGCTATAGCCCTGACGAAGCAACACAATATCATACCCTCGGTCCTAAGACACTTGGCTGGTCTCAGAATAAAGGTAGTTTGGTTTTGGTTCTGTGGATGACGGAGATGAGCAGCTGTGTTTTATATCTTTGCGTGGTTCTGCACATGGTGTGTATTTTGATTACAATGTAATACACATTTTTTGTTACCAGACCCAAAAGTTCAACACAAGATCCCTCCACGGAACATAGTACACTCGTTGGATGACATTCATGTCCGTGAGATCCGGGGTTCTAATCTTTCCTGTCTCCTTCAGTTCATAATGTATAACCACCATCCCATCACATCATCGGGGAGGAGGATTCTACCGAAATTTTAAATCGTCACTTTCGCTGAGAACAAGGTGACAAATACAGAATGTGGCGCCTTTTATGAACCTGAATGCTCATTACCACGTTTAAAAAAGCCGCCAACATTCCAAGCCCAGAACAAGAAGAATCCAGTCCATACCCTCATAGATTAATATCCATTTTCATTTTGTAACAGTTCTTTAAAGCTGTCCATTTCCTTCAGGTTTTCTGACCAAAAATGTTGCGCTCATTTGATTGAGTTGACGTTGTCTGACTTGCATGCTACATTCCCCACCCGTCTCATTGATTTTATTTTCCTATTAATATTTGAAACTCCTTATTTTTCAGTTTTCTCCTGCCTTCAGTTACTTATTCCTTTTTGGGTCCTAATATTCTCCTACGCGCTCTGTTCTCAAACACCCTTAATATGTGCTTTTCCCTTAATGTGAGAGACCGTTCTTTCACATCAGAGCAGATGCCGGTAAGTCTGTGTTTTGCTTTTCTAGATGGAAGGCGGGAAGACAACTCTGAACTGTGTGGTTAACCGTATTTGATGTGCTTCATTTCTTCATTTCTTGATCCAGAGTGTTTCTTATCCCATTCAGTTTCAATTCACTGAACGTCACTATTATATAAACGCGCGCGCGACTTACTCATTGCCCTGACGATGGAAGCGCCTCTGAAACGTCGGTAAACTTCTAACATTCTGCACTACATAACATCCAAGAGGATAGTCATCTTTGTGGTAAATTGCTATTTTCTTCTTGGTGAAGTGGGTTTTCATTCAGTGAACAGTCGAACACACATCCGTGGACTCAGTGTTCATTTCATATGCAGGAAGGTTTTTAAGAACCAGTAGGTATGACAAACTAATGGTCAAGAGGGAGTACTATTCTTATGATGCAAAGAATGTGGCGTAGTTTAGAATGTTTTCTTCCTTTTTTTTCCCTTCTGTTTCAAATGCGGATGTCTGCAGAATTCGAGGAATGCTAAGCGAATAGAATTCCTTTTCTTTCAGCCTCCCGTCTTTGGTTTGCTGGAACCCGAACTTCCCGCGGGCGCAATAAGTAAGTCGGCGAGGGGAACTTGCAGACACAAACCATTTCGCGCAGTGGCAGCTGTTTACATTGCTTGCTGATCCAGCAACATTTCTTTTTGCGAGAAATAGGTTACCAGTGATTGGAAATAAATTCACTCCAGGCTTGCGTTCCTAGGAGTTATGTCTCCCGTTTCTGATGTCTAATTTAAACACCTGCCTCACATTTGTGTGGAAACGAAACTTTCGCCAACGATAGTCGTTTTAGCCCGTGGGATTATGTTAAGCAGTGTTGTTTTCCAGCAACTATTCTTTGTATTCAGGCCTATTCCGTGTCAAATTCCAAGACTATTTGTTGCCGAATGAGATGGTAGGTTCATTACGTATGATGGATTGGAAACTGTTTGGAAGGCAACGGTCATAGCGTAGAGCAAGGTGCTCTGCAGGCTCTAGAATGACTGCGGAAAACCACGAAATACCATTTAGCGTGCCCGGTGTTCCTGGAACCGGATATGTGCCGAATGCAAGCCACTTGTTACCGATACACCATTCTAGCCTTGTTTTCCTTTTTTCAGAATGAGCTGTCACCATTATCACTTTCTGTCCGAGATAACATTGTTCAGCGGCCAGAAAGTATTAATACTACCTTCCCATCTACTCCTAAGTCTCCCACGTAATCGCTTGCCTTCTGGGGTTCCGATTAAAAATGTGTATGCATTTTCCACCCTACTACGATCTACATGTCCTGCCAATTTCATCTGCCTTAATTTGATCTTCCCAATATGTGGAGATGAGTAATTGTCTCCATCCTCCTATACTACGAAATACAGGACTATCTAGCATATATATGTAAAGACAATCCACATACACATACTTCTAATTGGGTGTAATAATGATTAGTCTTGAAAAGCAGTGAATGATGCAACTGCTTTAGATAAAAACCAAAAAGGCTTTGAAATAAACTGTTAAAGAAAAGCACATAATGCAACTTTTAAATCTTAACATCGCCAATAAAACTAAAAAAGGTCGGAATCGACCAACGGTTCACTGCACAGTCCGATGTCCGAGGACTGAACTTCGGACATTGGAACTGGACCTTAAAATCAAACTCCTTGCAGGAGTTCGTGTTAGATCAGTATTACAATTAACTGCAGGTGTTTTAACACAAGGTACATACGATTAATTTGTATGCGACAGTGGATGATCAATGGAAACTTGACGGAAATAAGTTGTAAGGATATTATCTGAACCTTGACAAAACTGATTCAAAACAGGATCCAACAGTGAGGTCCAGAGACTACAGCGATGCATCTTAGGTTCCACACAGTGAATATGGGACTGCTACACTATCGTGAAATCGCAGATACTGCTTAATTCCTTTTTCAGAAAATTTGTGCACACAGACGCATACAAATTTTTGGTTGGAAAATCTGAACTGAAGAGACTTTAGGCACCGATGGGAAAATAGTATTAAAATTGACTCGTCTAGCTCAGGATAGAGTCCGGTGGCAGGGGCTTCTGAACAAGAAAATGAACCAAGGAGTGTTACAAATGACGTGGAATTGCTTGACTAACTGGTCGACTACTAGCTTCTCAAGGAGTTAGTCAGTTACGGCTTTGGGATGAAATCCAGTGGCATGGCCCTCATGAAGTCTTGTTAATCACACAGCAAACAGTAGCAATTCGTATCATCATTCATACTG